GCTCCAAATACAGTAGTTTTGTTATTATGTAATGATTTATTTAGCAAGTAACAAGTAGATGTGGTATACTTAGATTTCCAAATGACATTTGACAAGGCACCACATCAAAAGTTGCTACACAAGAATTTATGGTGTAGGGGATAACGTACCAGCATGAGCAAGGAATTGATTAGCTAACAGGAAACAGAATGTAGGCACAAATGGCTCATCTTCCAGATGGCAAGATATAACTAACGGAACGTCAAAGGGCTTGGTGCTGGGGTACCAATTATTCACATTTGATATCAATGAATTGGATGATGAGACTGAACGTATGGTTGCTAAATTTTCTGGTGACTTAATAGATAGAAAGGAATCTGCAAAAGGGTAAAGATAGGTTAAGTAAGTGAGCAAAAAATTGGCCAGTTGGGGTATAATGTAGAAAAATGTGAACTGGTCAACTTTGGCAGGAAGTAGAAGAGCAGAACATTATTTAAATAAATAAGTAACTCTTGAGCCAGGAAGTGATCTGGGTGTCCTGGAATATAAATCATAGTGCTTGTAGCTACAACAAATAGTTTCGAATGCAAATGGACAGCTATTGTTTATTGCAGGGAGAATGTAATATAAAAGTAGGAGTTTTGTTTTGTTTTGTTTCTGATTTTCAACATCTGCAGTTCTTTGGTATTTTGTTTAGTATTTAACTCACTGCCACATCTCTTCAGGGTATGCCCACCTTGAAGAGGTTCTGTTCCTCTCTCCGGCAGGTTTTCCATTCAAATCTTTTGTCTTGCTCATCGTCATTACTTCCATTGTTGTTCTGGTGGTTGACAAGGTATTTGCCAAAACTCATTTCTGCAGCCACATCACATTCCTCGTGACTGTCTCCGGCTCAGACTCACCCCATGTGGATTCCAACTGAAGTTTCATCTTTCACGTTTTGAATCCACACAGGGTCACATGTATCTTGTAATGTACAATGCTCCTCAGACAGCTGTTCTCACGCATTCGGAGATCCACACTCAGTGCTAAGCACTGCCTTATATTCCACTCTCAACCTTTCTCTCCATCAGCATCTCCTCATGCTGTCTCAGAGCTGTCCTGCTCCCAAACTTCTGCTTCATTCTCTAGTTCATTGGACGTTCAGAAGAAGGGTCACTCTGTTAACTCTGCTTTTTCTCCACAGATGCTGCCAGACCTGCTGAGATTTTCCAGCAATTTCTGTTTTTGTTATAAAAGTAGGAATGATTTGCTACGTTTGTACAGGCCATTAGTGAGACTAGATCTAGAGCACTGTCGACAGATTTGGTTTCTTTATTTGGGAAAGAACATAATTGCATTAACACAGTTCAGAGGTGGTTCAGAGATAGTAGGAACTGCAGATGCTGGAGAATCCGAGACAACAAGGTGCAGGGCTGGATGAACACAGCAGGCCAAGCAGCATCATAGGAGCGGAGAGGTGGTTCACTTGGTTAATTCCTGTGGCGAGGGTGTTAACTTATGAGGAAATGTTGACCAGGATGTTCCTGACATATCTGACGTTAGACACTAATGTTATGGCAAGTTCAACAATTATTTAGGGTCAGAACTCTTGCAAAAGAATATTTCTTGCAACAGAACATTGATTGGAAGTGTTTTAGCACTCTCTTGTGGAGGAGATCTGAAACTACACTCAATTATGTGAATTTCCACAAAGACACTGAACTTAAGGCGGATTCAGGGGGAAGGCAGTGAAGTAAACTTTGATTGCATCTGACTTTTCAACAGTATTACCCTGATCCAAATAGTACACAATTTATTAAACAGCAGTTACATCTTACAACTGATCTAAAGTTGACACGATTTTTTTTGCCTTGAACCACAAATTTCAAATCATTAATTTGCTATGTCTGAATCCATGATGTTCATAGATCTAAGCAATTCATGGATGTAGCAATCAGGCAAGCACTCAGAACAGGTTAATCCAAAAAAATGAGGCATACAAAATTAAATCAGAGCTTAAAAGCATCAATTGAACAGAGTTCACTGGCCATTGTGGGCCACATTTTCAGGTTCAAGGTCCTTAAATAGTCATGTGCCATTGTTTGGATACCTGTGACATGGTGGGAGTCAATATTCAACTCCCAGGCATAAAACTGTCGATAGGCCATCATTAAGTCCACCAGACTGCATCTATATTGTAATCACTGGAGGTGAAGTTGGCACAATTCCCTCACAGCTGATCGATCCATATGCCAATTTTATACCCAGCGGTGAGTTGACATCCCACAGGAAGCATAATAGTTGCCAACAATTCCTGACTTTCTTGACTGAAATCTGCACATTGATAGTGGCAAACACACTTTTAGATCTATCTGGTAGAGCACCTTCTGTTCTGTTTTTAGACATCCTTCTTCCTAATGCTACATCTTTCCCGATTAGGCCCTGTTTAAAATTGTATCAGATTATAAAAGGATCTCATTTGGCATAGTCTTCTAAGGCTTCCATTTTCTTTGTGTGGGTAACCCAAACATCAGCAAAACCATGAGCTGAAGATCTGACATAGTTGGGATTTGTGCATGTAAGTGACAAAGTCATTTTACTGTTCACTAATCCTGTTTCCACTATGCAGAGAAGATTAAAAAGTGGCCTAACTGATAATGTGTATAAGGCAACATTACTGGTTTGCTTCATTAGGCTATACACTTACTTATGGCCCATAGGATTTCTGTTCTTTAACAACTTTGATCAACTATTTTAATATAATGCATTAAAGAACACCCATTTATACAACATATTTCCATTTGTAGAATGCTGACAAGTGCTTCACCATCAGTGTATTACTTTCCAAGTACAGTCAACAGTGTGTTTTAGGCAAGCATGGTAACCAGGTTATGTACAATGAGAACAGACTAACTGAAGACTTGCTTCAATTATGTCAGAGCTTGATTAGACTGCGCTTGGAGGACTGTGTGCAATTTTGGTCTCCTAAACTCATGAAAGATATTACCATAGATGGAGTGCAAAAAAGGTTTGCACAATTTTTTTCCATGGTGGTGGGATTATCTTGTGAAGTCAGGTTAGGTAAACTGGACCTGTATTCTCTAGAGTTTCAAATATGGAAGGTAATCTCATTGAAACTTACAAAATACTTAAAAAGATAGGCAGGTTACATGCAGGTACGATGTTTTCCCCAAATGGGGAGGCTAGAACCAGCAGGCACAGATTGAAAATAAGGAGGATGCCACTTAGGTTCAGGCTGAGAATTTTTTGGTACAAAAAATGGTTTTGTGAACCTTCAGAATTCTCTACAATAGAAGGCTGTGAAACTGTCTTTGAGTATCTTTAAGGTAGAGATTGATAGATTTGTTACTATTTGTGGCACACAGTTATGGGGATAGGGTGGTAAAAGGCATTGAAGTGTTCAATCAGCCATTATCATGCTGAATGGCCTCCACCTGTTCCTATGTTCTTAAGATTGTTTTTTTTTAGGACTGGTTAATTAGACATGGGTGTTGCTGGAAAGGCTGGTAGTTATTGCCCATTCTCAATTGCTATTTGGGAAATTGTAGTGAATCACTTTCTTGACTGCAGGAGTCAATCTGGTGCTAGTACACACAAAGTGCAGGTAGGGAGAGATTTCTGGAAATTTGACACGGTGACATAGAAATATATTACCATTCCTTCAATGTCATATTAGTGTATTTGAGGCAAACTTGCAGTTGTCTGTGCTTTGTTTGCTTGTTGCCCACGTACTTCTAGATGATGGAGATTATTGGTTTGGAGGATTTTAGTCATCGAGTCATACGGCATGGAAACAGACCCTTCGGTCCAATTAGTCCAAGTTTCCAAACTAAACAACCCCATCACCCTGTGATAACAAAGTGTGGAGCTGGAGGAACACAGCAAGCCGGGCAGTATCAGAGGAGCAGGAAAGCTGACATTTCAGCTCGGGAAAAAGGGTCCTTCCTGGCAACATCCCATAAGTGTAACCTCTTTTACAGTATCAGTAACATCCCTTTCCAAATCTTTTTGGAAATCACTTTTTTCATTAATATTGCAGTAATAAAGCTTTGTAGCTTCAGCCCAATTTCCAATTGTTACGTATAGAATTTGCACCAAAACAAAGAAAGAGAACAATTTACCTTAGAGGAGGAATGAAACAATAAACTTAAAAAATGCAAATTCATATTGGACAAAGGAAAGAGAATAAAATTCTATATATCCTTTACATATAATCAATATTGTAAGGCGAGTAACATAACTGCCTCTCTTCATGTGTTACATTCTAGTTTAATCCCACGTAGCTATTTTTCTTGAATTAGTGGGCAGAAAATCACAAATTAATTAAACTGAAATTAAGATGATGAATAATGAATGAAGATCTATCTTTACCAAGAACGTTTTCATCCTTTCAGAAAAATAGCAGGAGGAAAACTTTAGCTGATATAATGATGTTATCCCAAGTCTATGTAGCAGAGGGTCAGAGGGCTAGTTTTGACAGATGGTAAAGACAGGTTGAGTCCACGAGATAGAACCAATAATCCTTCAGTTTCCACTTATGAGAGACTCTAAGATCAGAATCTTTGGAGTATGAGCTTACACTTGGTCAGGGATTTTGATAGAATTCCTAGTGTGGAAGCAGGCCCAGCAAGTCCACAATGACCTTCCAAAGAGCATCTTACCCAGACCCACCTTATCCCTGCAACTAAAGCAGAAACCCAAAATAAAACATCATAATGAATGAATGTAACATAGGTTGACGTAAAATTGTCTCCACATGATTAAAATGCAATTTTCTGCACCTGACATCTTGCTTGGGAAATGGCATGTTAGTTCTTGACCCAACAATACACATTGTAGAAGGATTTTGTACAAAGATGATACCAAGAATTGCTGAAACAAGGAGAGAGTACCTAATGTGAATAAAGGCAAAACGTGGAAAATGGCTGAAGGCAATACCAAGGTGTAGGGAAGAGCACAGAAAATCAATTCTACGTAAATTACTAACAGTGCTGGCAAATTTGCAATAATACTTAAAATTTCAAATAGCCACAACATTTTTTTTATTTCATGGTGTGTTCATTACATTTCATTCATTTTAATATAAACCTCACATTGTATTTGGAAAGGTAAAACAATTTAACATCAATACTTTGGTAACATATCCCTCCTCTCTTTCATTAACTCCTTTTTGGGATATGGTTTCATGAGCTGCACTTCATCCCTCAACTGGTCATTATTTGTGGATGAGCCTTGCTATTGAGTATCAGTTACTTATTTGATTTGCAAGGACTTTTCACAGCAAAAACCATTCTTGTCTTCAATTAAAATCTACACATTCACTCCCAGCAAGGGGCACTGGATAGCATTCGGGAGAAGGGATCCCATTTTGGGGATTTCTGCCCCACCTGAACCTAGAATACAGAGGTAGGGCAATACAAGTGTACTGCACTTATCTTGTCTCTATCAGCTTGCCAAACTCAGAACAACCTGAATAAAACCTGGAAACTTCCTAGTTCAATTCTCAGCTGACGAATTTTTAAAACCAAGCTTTACACTGGATTGGAATAATCCCACTTGCAGTGAAAATGCAACATCATTTGAGACACCCTGTGGGAGAGTGCCTTAAACTGCTTTGCATTAATACTTTTATGGTTCAGATCAGGTTGTGGCACGTGCATTCTATCCTCACTCTAATATTAATGCACATTTGAAGCACTTTACATCATTATGATAGTGGTAGTGTAACTTCAATGAATGTTACAAAAGCTATTTTCTGTTTGTAGGTATAAATTTCTGAGCTTGACGTGCACCGATTTCAGCCACATAAATGGCTCCAGTTTTCTGACTAACATCAACTAGGTGAGGTTTCACATCATCAGCCAACTGAATTGTGTCCTCTATGCGGCATGTCCCAATGTCACCTATTGGTGGGACAGACAAAAAAACTATTCTGTTGACGTTCAGCTGGGCCACAATGAAGAACTTCTTGTCAGATGTTAGCCTGTAAAGAATTTTAAAAAAAAAAAAATCAAAATTTAAAATAAAAACACTTTTTTTGGAGAAGATTGCTACATGCAACATAGAAAATGAAATTGTTCATTATTACGAAAGATGATCTAAAAGCTTAGGATAGTGGCATTTGTCTACGACTGGATAATAGCCCGAAAACTCTACTGACTGCAATCACAGCAGTCATGCTGGGACTGCACCCATTATTCCCTTTAACAGTGACCCCTGTCAAAATTTATGTCGTCAGTGGGAGGGAACCTCTATAGAGAAAGAAAGTGGATCCAAAGTGTCACTTCCAGCAATACCTTCGCACCCAACCATGTGTCTCTCTTCTGGGAAGAAAGGGTGGGGTAGCATTGCTTAGATCCCTTCTTTTACCCTTGCCTTCGATCCGACTAGATCCTATTCCAGAATTTGCTTCGACGAATACAAATTGACCCAAATCATCCAAAGAATGGCAATCACTGTTGGAATGCCTTACTACTCCTACTATTTGGCACAGCAACAGAGCTCTACATTTCTGATCAGGAGTTCAGAACCCTGCGTATTCAGAAATTTGGAACACAGTTTAAATCAGAGTCCTTCCAAGATTAAGTTTGTCAGAAGATAGGGAGGGAATGTCAGATGGTCAGGGCAGGGGTCAGGTGGTGCAATTGGTGGGGTAGTTGAAGAGTTGAAGAAAAGCAGTTAGTTGGAGACCTAGTCAGGTCGGGTCAGAGAAGGGTCACCCAAGAGTTAGACAGATCTTTAATCTGTTTGACATTTTCTAGGTAATAAGCCAGGTAAGTAAAATGGGTTAATACAGTGTGGAGCTGGAGGAACACAGCAGGTCAGGCAGCAGGGGAGCAGGAGAGTCAACGTTTAGAGTTTACACCCTTCATCAGCACTGGGGCCGGGAAGGGAGCTGGGAAACAAATAGAAGGAGGAGGGGTGGGCTGGGGGGAAGGTAGGTGGGATGGTGTTAGGTGGATACAGTTACAAAAGAAAGAACAAAAGAAAATTACAGCACAGGAACAGGCCCTTCGGCCCTCCAAGCCTGCGCCGATCCAGATCCTCTATCTAAACCTGTCGCCTATTTTCCAAGGTTCTGTATCCCTCTGCTCCCTGCCCATTCATGTATCGTCTAGATACATCTTAAATGACGCTATGGTGCCTGCCTCTACCACCTCCGCTGGCAACGCATTCCAGGCACCCACCACCCTCTGCGTAAAGAACTTGCCATGCATATCTCTCTTAAACTTTTCCCCTCTCACCTTGAAATCATGACCCCTAGTAACTGAGTCCCCCACTCTGGGAAAGATCTTCTTGCTATCCACCCTGTCTATACCTCTCATGATTTTGTAGACCTCAATCAGGTCCCTCCTCAACCTCAGAGATAGTAGGAAATGTCAGCCTTCCTGCTCCTCTGATGCTGCTTGGCCTGCTGTGTTCATTCAGCTCTACACCTTGTTATCTCACCCCGTCAACCTCCGTCTTTCTAATGTAAATAATCCTAATCCACTCAACCTCTCTTCACAGCTAGCACCCTCCATACCAGGCAACATCCTGGTGAACCTCCTCTGCACCCTCTCCAAAGCATCCACACCCTTTTGGTAATGTGGCGACCAGAACTGTACACAGTATTCCAAATGTGGTCAAACCAAAGTCCTATATAACTGTAACATGACCTGCCAACTCTTGTACTCAGTGCCCCGTCCGATGAATGAAAGCATGCCATATGCCTTCCTGACCACTCTATCGACCTGCGTTGCTACCTTCAGGGTACAATGGACCTGAACACCCAGATCTCTCTGTGCATCAATTTTCCCCAGGGCTTTTCCATTTACTGTATAGTTCGCTCTTGAATTGGATCTTCCAAAATGCATCACCTCGCATTTGCCTGGATTGAACTCCATCGGCCATTTCTCCACCCAACTCTCCAATCTATCTATATTCTGCTGCATTCTCCGACAGTCCCCTCCACTACCTGCTACTCCACCAATCTTAGTCATCTGCAAACTTGCTAATCAGACCATCTATACCTTCCTCCAGATCATTTATGTATATCACAAACAACACTGGTACCAACACGGATCCCTGTGGAACACCACTGGTCACAGTTCTCCATTTTGAGAAACTCCCTTCCACTACAACTCTCTGTCTCCTGTTGCCCAGCCAGTTCTCTATCCATCTAGCTAGTACACCCTGGACCCCATGCCACTTCACTTTCTCCATCAGCCTACCATGGGGAACCTTAACAAACGCCTTACTGAAGTCCATGTATATGACATCTACAGCCCTTCCCTCATCTGTCAACTTTGTCACTTCCTCAAAGAATTCTATCAAGTTAGTAAGACATGACCTTCCCTGCACAAAACCATGCTGCCTATCACTAGTAAGCCCATTTTCTTTCAAATGTAAATAGATCCTATCCCTCAGTATCTTCTCCAGCAGCTTCCCCACCACTGACGTCAGGCTCACCAGTCTATAATTACCTGGATTATCCTTGCTACTCTTCTTAAACAAGGGGACAACATTAGCAATTCTCCAGTCCTCCGGGACCTCACCCGTGCTCAAGGATGCTGCAAAGATATCTGTTAAGGCCCCAGCTATTTCCTCTCTTGCTTCCCTCAGTAACTTGGGATATATCCCATCCGGACCTGGGGACTTGTCCACCCTAATGCCTTTTAGAATACCCAACACATCCACCCCCCCTCCACCTCCTTATGCTGACTTGACCTAGAATAAACAAACATCTATCCCTAACCTCAACATCCGTCATGTCCCTCTCCTCGGTGAATACTGACGCAAAGTACTCATTAAGAATCTCACTCATTTTCTCTGACTCCTCACATAACTTCCCTCCTTTGTCCTTGAGTGGGCCAACCCTTTCTCTAATTACCCTCTTGCTCCTTATGAGGTAGGGGGTAGTGGAGATTGGTTAGTGGGGTGGGTGGGGCAGCTAGGTGGGAAAGAAGATGGACAAGTTGTGTCAGGTCAAGAAGGTGGGGATGAGAAGGAGGATAAGACCGGGGGTGGGGAGATTTTGAAACTGGTGAATTCTATGTTGAGGCCATCAGGCTAGAGGCTCCCGAGGCAGAATATGAGGTGTTTACCTCCAGTTTGCGCTTGGTGTCATTGTGACACTAGAGGAAGCCCAGGATAGACACATCACTGAGGGAGTGGGAGGGGGAGTTAAAATGGTAGCAACTGCAAGGTGTTGTTGATTATAGTGTTCAGAGCGTAGAGGTTCGACAATGCTGCTTCAGCCACCAACAACGCCTACGTTAACTTCCACTAATACCACTGACCACATCGCTACTTCTACTTCCGCCCACGTGACCATTTCCATACACACACCCACTCTCGAGACTGTCTCCACCCCTGCTCCCAGCTCCAGATCTACACCTAGCCCCAGGCCCAAGCTCTGGCATTCACTATCCCCCCAGACATCCCCCTCACTGAAGACAAATGGTCAGTCCTCAGTAAAAGACTCACATTCATTCCTCTCTGCCCACACATCAATGAATTCCTTTTGTGTTTGGATGTCCAACACTTTTCCACCGCCTCAGTGCCTACTTATTTAACTGTGAGTCTAACCCACCCTCTACAGACCCCTCTTCCCGCCTCCAACGCACTCCATCTTCCTGGACACCACCCCACGGCCTCCTACCCTCCCTCAACCCCTTCATTTCCAACTGTCGTCATGGCATCTATTGCCTGAATCTCTCCATCCCTCTCACTCACTCCAACCCCTCCCCATCAGGACACGCAGTCTTCAGCTCCAACCCCAACCTCACCATCAAACCCGCAAATAAGGGCGGGCCGCAGCGGTGGTATGGCGCACTGACCTCTACATCATGGAGGCCAGGTGTCAACTCTCTGACACCTCCTCCTACTGCCCTGTTGATTATGACCCCACTCCTGACCACCAAACCATCATCTCTCAGACAATCAATAACCTCATCACCTCAGAAGAGCTCCCACCCGCAGCCTCCAACCTCATCATCCCCCAAACCCGCACCGCCCGGTTCTATCTCCTTACCAAAATCCACAAACCTGACTGCCCCAGTCAGCATATTGTCTCTGCCTGCTCCTGCCCCACTGAACTGATCTCCGCTTACCTCGACTCTGTATTTTCCACCCTGGTCCAGGAACTCACCACCTATGGTTGGGACACCACCCACGCCCTCCACCTCCAAGACTTTCAATTTCCCAGGCCCCCAACACCTCATCTTCACTATGGACATCCAATCCCTGTACACTTGTATCCCGAACACTGATGGCCTAACAGCCCTCTGCATCTTCCTCTCCCACAGGCCCAACCAGTCCCCCTCCACTGACATCATCATCCACATAACAGATCTTGTCCTTACCCTCACCAAATTTTCCTGTAACTCCTCCTACTTCCTACAAACCAAAGGGGTGGCTATGGGCACGCGTATGGGTCCGAGCTATGCCTACCTCTTCGTACGATACATGGAACAGTCCCTCTTCTGCAGTTACACTGGCACCAGCACCCACCTCTTCTTCCACTACATTGATGACTGTATCGACACTGCCTTGTGCTCCCATGAGGAGCTTGAACAGTTCATTAACTTTACTAACACCTTTCACCCCAACCTCAAATTCACCTGGACCATCTCTGATACCTCCCTCCCCTTCGTGGACCTCTCCATCTCCATCTCCGGTAACCATCTCAGCCCTGACCTCTATTTCAAACACACCGATTCCCATAGCTACCTGGATTACACCTCCTCTCACCCACCCTCCTGCAAGAATGCAATCCCGTACTCTCAAGTCCTCCGCTGTATCTGCTCCAAGATGGAGCATTCCACTCCCGGACATCCCAGATTTCCTCCTACTTCAAGGACCGAAACACTCCCCCACCCGCCCTCTGTTGATCCACAATCCCTCGCCTGCATCTCTTGCATTTCCTGCACATCTGCCCTCAAACCCTCTCCCCACAACAAAAATAAAGACAGAGACCCTCCGGTCCTCACACACCACCCCACCAACCTCCGCATCCAACGCATCATCCTCCGCCACTTCAGCCACATGCAATCCAACCCCACCAAAGAGATATATCCCTCCCCACCCCATCTGCCTTTCATAGAGATGGCTCATTCCGTGACTCCCTCATCCGCTCCATGCTCCCCACTAGCCTCACCACCCCAACACCTTTCCCGCTGGAGGTGCTACACCTGCCCCTACACCTCCCCTCTCACCTCTGTCCAAGGTCCCAGACAAACTTTCCAAATCCGAAAGGAATTCACTTGTACATCCTCCAACCTGGTCTACTGTATCTGTTACACCCAATGTGGCCTCCTCCACATCAGTAAGACCAAGCGCAGACTCAGTGACCGATTCGCGAAGCATCTGCACTCTGTACGCTATAATCAACACCTTCCAGTTCCCAACCATTTTAACTCCCCCACCTCCCCCACCCACTCCATTGGTGGCATGTCCATCCTGGGCCTCCTCCATATCACAATGATGCCACACCCAAACTGGAGGAACAACACCTCATATTCCGCCTTGGGAGCCTACAGCTTGATGGCCTCAGAATAGAATTCACCAGTTTCAAAATCACCCCACCCCTGGCCTCATCCCATGTCCAACCGTCCCTGTCATCCCTGCCTCCTTGACCTGACACTAACTGTCCATCTTCTTTCTCACCTATCCGCCATACCCTTCCCACTGACCAATCCTCAGTACACCCTACCTGCATCCACCTAACACCATTCCATCCACTTTTTTCCAGCTCCACCCCTCCTCCCTCTATTTATTTCCCAGCTCCCTACCTCCTCCCCAATCCTGATGAAGGGTGTAAACCCGAAATGTTGACATTGCTTCTCCTCTGATGCTGCTTGACCTGCTGTGTTCCTCCAGCTCCACACTGTATTGACTCCAACTGCAGCATCTGCAGTTCTCACCATCTCTGTTAAGTAAAATGGAAAACTTACTGGGGGAGCTTGCGGACTAGGGATCTGGAGACCAGCTAATGTTCTGGGGGGCCAGGGGTTCAAATCCTACCACAGCAATTGATGAAATTTTATATTTGAATAAATCTGTAATTTAAAAGCTAATCTCAGTGAAGACAACCATGAAATTATTATCAATTGCCATGGAAATCTATCTGGATCATTGACACTCTTCAGGAAAGGAAATCTGCCATCCTTACTTTATCTAGCCTACATATGATGCCAGATCCACAGCACTGAAGGTGATTTTTAGCCATCTCTTAAACTGGTCTATGAAGCAACTCAATTCAGGATGAATTAATGATAGTCAACAACAAACCTTAAGTCAGAGTTAGAGATTTTCCTGAAGGGTTCCGAGAACAGGGAAATTTCGGTCAGAAGTTCAAACTTCCTAGGCAATTCTCACACGGTCAGTGTATCAGGGACAGGGGAGGAGTCTTGAAGAGTATCTCTAGTCGTATGTCTAGTCTTTTAATAAGTCTGGGCTAATATTCATCTCCGGGTACTAGTTTCATGTACAATTGTACTTCATATGCCAGCTTTCACCATCCTGCCAGATACCTATACAAAGAATGATCTCCAAATCCAAGCTGCTGATTGCCTTGAAAGGGAAGTTTCACTCCACGCAAGTCAATACAGAATGATCACAGACTTGACTTAACCTATTCACTCCATTTCTGTGGCAGACTTGCTGGTCTCTCCTCTGAGCAGAAGCCGAGGAACTCTGGGCCCAGGTTTTGCAGTGAGCTTTTGTTCCTTTAAGAAAACTGGAATATTTGCCATTACAGATGCCTTGCATGTGGAAGAATTGGGTTCACAGCCAACACTTCTGAGCTTTGAAATGTAAATCTCAGCCAAAACAAGGTAGAGAACACAAATCTAATGCTTCCCAACAATTAAAGAAGGAGGTAGAAGTCACAAACTGACTAGCCATAGAGTTTCCCAGTTTCATTCTAAAAGTTGAGATTTTCTATTATAAGTTTGTGGATTTATGAACTCACCTCACAGAGTAAGGAGCATCATCTGTGAAGCAGCTAGACCAGGACCCAAGCCACTCTCCTGAAGCAGCATCAAATGCTTGCAAACGTTTGTTTCCTCTGTCAGCTACCCAGATCTAAAGTAAAACAAAACTGCATTACAAGCAGAAACATTTGCATGCAGTAAGTCCTCACTTACAATTGTAGTTGATTTCTTTGGGATTTCCAGGGAGACAACGTTAAACAAGAGTTAGGTTGTCTTGGACATTCCTCATCCAGTAAAATCAATGTATAGACTGAAATACGGTACCATGCATGTTCACTATTGAAAAAACCAATAAATTAAGATCACTAAATATAAAAGAAATACTGTACAGTTAGGCAATTTAGGACCAATTTCAGCAGGAAAAAAGAATTGAGTTGAAATGCTTTATTTTCATAAAAACCATTCATAAATGAAATAACCGTATAACAAATACAAAATATTATAAATCTAAATTACTGCAAAAGAAATCTACTCTCTCCTTGTTTTGGATTGATCAGGCTCCATCTAGTGGCAAAAACTGGTTAGTAACGTAGCAGCTGAAATGCCAAGATTTAAGCGGGAGTTCAGAGTCGGAATGGGAATGAGGAGTAGCTCAAGTCCCCGGAGATGGCAACAACACTGGAGACTTTAAGGACAGAGGATGGAAATAAAAGCACAGTACAGAGGGCCTTCAGAACTGAAGGCAAAGTCAGGGCAGGGGCGTGAGGCTGGGAACAACGTCAGGAGCAAAGGGAAAAAGGGCTTCATCACAAGAACGACGGTGGGAGCAACAGCAGCGACAAAAGCGGAACGGGGATGGAGAAAAGAGGAACAGCTGAAGATTTTAGTGGTGGCAACGGACACCGGGGTCTTTAAAATTAAGGCTGGAGGGTGAAATGGGAGTTGCAAATAACATTGTCTTCAGCGATGAGCGCATGAGGTGGGGAAAAATCATGCGCAATGCAAATCATATAACAGGAAGTCTGTGGCAAATGTGGAAAAAGTGAAACTTTTTGCAAAATTAAACAGATATATCGTCACTATTTTGTTAGTAATGTTAAAGCAAATCATGAAGCAACTCAACGTTAAGCAGGGACTTCCTATTCGTATTTTTCTCCTTTTTACTTTTGCACCTTCGATGGAACCACTTGCTATGAATCTGTCTGTTTTAGCCAGGAATTGCTGAAAACCATTGTTGATACCTCCTCTTGGTTTACTGATAACAGGTCTGCCTGCAATGAGGCCAATGAATATTTTCAGGTTTTTTTGATGACGTGAATTTATCATAATTTCATCTTTGTTTCAATGTTTCATGAATTCTTTTACTTATCAAAGTGATTAATGTAGATAACGAGAATAAATTATTGTACCTATTTTGTACCTAGTGTCCTTGTCAAGTAGTTTCGACTCAGGTGTTGAATGTACACTACACCAATAATTTGCATTGATCCAAACTTAAAATGGCACTCTCGCTGCATGTACAATGTTTCTGTCAGTTATTCTTGTTATCTCAACTCAAGATACTAGTGATGTCAAATCTGAAGCAGTTCTTCATGCAAATTAAATCTAGTTTGAACGTAAGTAATGAGACTGACTTCAGTTTGGAAAAGTTACAGTTATTATCCCATCATCTTCTGCTGGATCTATATTCTGACCTGAGAGGGAAAAATAAAAAAAAAGTTGCTGCATTGTCAACATCTAATTTTACTGGAGAAGTTTTACTTGAACGTCAAAATATATTTCAGTTATGGATTTAATAAATTTTACACTAGAGGGTTAGATTTGAAAAATTAATCTGCAGTTCATATTGGGAATTGATGTGCAGATAAATCCAGTGACTCTTGCACTTGATTTTTTAACATGCACACATGAACTGCAATGTTCCGTACTGGGAGCATAAATTGACAAAATTATTTTCGCAAATACTAACATTTCAGTTGAATATTCGCAAATAGGTTGTAAAAGGACAATTAAATTGTGATATTCTTGAGCACCTACTTATTACTTTTGCACTGACCCAAATGTATTCAGCAGTCCTATTGATAAAATACCACAGTGTCAATATATTTTTGATTTCATAATGCATCATCAGACAATTCATTTAATAATGACAGAGGCTGAGACTTACTCTTCCTACATTATCCTCAGTTACGCTGTGTGGAATGTAAAATTGAGAAGGTCCAGCTCCCTTTTCTGCTCTCATCCAAACTATTCCTAAGCCTGCAACAAATGACAGCCGTAGTTATTTAGTAACTTCTAATAAAGAACAATCCTACTAGGTGGAAAAACTATATGAATGATTGCAGCAGCAAACAGACACTAGAAAAACATTCATGTTCATTTTGTATGGATCTCACACATTAACCAAGGTGAGGTGACAGTGGCATTATCCCTCAAGTATGAATCCAGAAACTTGGTTTGCATTCTAGGGATGCAGGTTAGAATCCCATAACGACAGATGGTGGAATTTGAATTCAATAAAACAAAAATCTGGAATTAAGAATCTACTGATGACCATGAAACTATTGTTGATTGTCTGAAAAACCCAATGCCCTTCAGGGAAGGAAATCTGTCATCCTCATCTGGTCTGGCCTATATGAGACTCCAGACCCACAGCAATGTGGTTGACTGTTAACTGTCCTCTGAAATGACAGTATCAAATCGCTACAAAGTCTCAAAAAAAAAACAAAGCCATCCCAGATCAACATACTTATTCATATACATTAAACAGATTTCTAAAGAAAAATTCTTATGGGTCCTATTCTTTTCTTTGAAAATGTTTTGATTTTAATCAGGGTATGAATGCGCATACCTGCCAGTAATAGGCAAAAATGTTGACAGGAGAGTTACATATTCCTGACTCTATACCAATTTTGTCCTTTAATTAGCAGCAAAATGGCAAATAATTCCCTTCTGATATTTGTCCCTCAGATGCTTCTTTCCTGAAAACATACACCAGACCCTGCTCGAGAACAATATAGAATATTAAAAACCGAGTTATAGGATTTTCTTTGTTCACTTGTGAACACTGGCTAGGCCAGGACTTATTGCCTGTTCCTAGTTGCCCTTGAGAAGGTGGTGGTGAGCTGCCTTCTTGAGCAACTGCAGTCCATGTGATGCAGGTAGACCCTCAATACTGTTAGAGAGGGAATTGCAGGATTTTGACCCAATGACACTGAAACAACAGTAATACATTTCCAAGTCAGCGCGGGAGAGAGACTGAACCCAGCATGGAGTGCCTGCAGGTCCATGCCTAACAAAGGACTGTAATCTGCAACTTTTAACTTTACAGTTCTTGTCAGTATAAAGTAGTAAACAAGAAATAATGCTGAACTTTTAACATTGGTTTCTTTTTTTTTTACTTTTACCTAAGATTTTGTACCTAGGTACCTTGTACGCAAGATGGCACCATGATTGGCAACATTGTAAACATTTCACTGTACTCCTCTATCCCTGTGCTTGAGTATATGTGAAATGAAACCTAATAAAGTCAGAATGGTGAGTGGCTTGGAGGGGAACTTGCAGGTAATGATGTCCCCACATATCTGCTGACTAGTGGCCAACAGAACCTCATGGATGTCCAGGATTGATTTGCAACATTTGTTCGTAGTCTGTCCCATTTCGCATGGTGATAAAACCACACAATATGCTGCAAGAATGGAAAAGCCTGAGCTGTAATATCCAGATTGCTGCCTTAAGATGTGCAGCAATCTTGAAATGACCAGCTCTGCACGTTAGGTTAGTTCCAGTTATGAAGGTTTTGCTTTAAAGAAGTATTCTTCCACACATACAATCACGTTCAAGTGTAATGCAGCAGTCTCACGAGCAGCTTTAACAATTTCAACTAAATTTAAAATGGGGCAAGTGGGGTTCCACTAAACTTAGGAGAAAGCACTGGCAAAAAGATGTCACAAAACTGGAACATTCTTCTTACATACAAGCCATAAGCCTAGTGCAGCATGTGTTAGATACAGCTTAAATGTCCTCCTTCAAAATGGCCCATCCATCTCTCCCGAAAAAGAACTGGACAAATCTTAAAAGAGCTCACTAGCTTTCAGGACAGTGTCTCAGTTTATTTAGTGCTTTAAGATAATAATGGGAGAAACTACAACAAACTCTCTTCCACAAACATAATAGCAACTTCAAACCACAAAAGTAATTGTTTAGAAAACAACATTCATTGAAGTTACCAATTTAAACAATTACAATTACCTTGATTAGCTAGCTTGATTAGCCTATTATTTAAGCCTCCATCGCCATCCACAATGTAAATTTCCTCTTTGTTAGAAACAAACACTTCTGCTGGTTGATCAAATTGTAACGGATTTAAATTAGAGCCAGGTGTTCCAGGTGTCCCCAGAATTTGAAGAAGTTTTCCCGATGGTGTGTACTGCTTTACTGTGTGTCCATACTTTCCTACAGAATATGAAAAATCTGCAGTTTATAACATTCCTTCTATTACCTTAGGATGACTTCCAAAGTATTTCAGAAAGAAACAGTTACTTTTAAAAGTATGGGAGTTACTGTTACTTTGTGGGCATACATGGCATACATGGCAGACTCTTCCCCTGAATACTTTGCAATTCCACTGCAATATCAATGAATTATACACTACACTTCTGAGTTTGGGTCCGAACATGGATTGGCTGTCCGTTTCCAATCTCTCTGTACAAACTTCCCAGCTCAAACTCATTTCACCAGGTAGTAACTGCTAACAATTTTTTATCTACATCTTAATTTTTACATAGAATACCTGCCAACTTAGCTTATGTAGTTAGTTATTTACCTAGCTTTGGGTAAGCAACATCTTTATATTTTTCAAAATCTATTCACACTAATTCCTCAAAAAGATCAAAGGAGGTCATGGCTAGGCTTAAGATTTCAAGACCAAGCTGAAACAATGGTAATGTGAAGCAAACATTTTAAAATGTTTTTAAATACTGAAAGCCGTGATCAATGTAGGTTTGTGGTTCCAATGCATGTCAAAATAACAAATGCCAAGACTTCACTCACAGAGTCTCCATTTCAAGCTATAATTTTTTTTCCCACTATCTCTCATCGTGGTTTCAAACAGAGGTGGAATGTCACACTATAGAATGCATACAATCAACCTACTTCTCTCCCTTGACAAGAAAAAAATTTGTCTTACATTAGGATACTTTTTACCCTTATATAGCATAGTAACATTAAAAAAAAATCAAAGTCTATTGATTGTGAGAGAGAAGTAACAATTGGATATCCTGATGTTAAATTCACCACGACTAGTTGCAAAATTGAATGGGTTATCCCAGAAAAGTAAATTGTACCACATAAATGATACTATGTCTTGACATGTGCCTACCCCAACATTTAGAATGAACAGGGAAGTTATTACAATCAAATTAAACAGATAAAACGTTATTAAAATTGATTTGATTCCAAAATCAGAAGCTGTAAATTCCACTATACCATTTCCAACATCTGTCACCCACACAGATGACAAAGACGCTGTGTTAGTTGCAAATATCCCATGTGGCATCTCAATTGTTGTGGTATTCCACTTTCGGAGGAAGTATCCCTGCTCTGTAAACATCAAAACCTTCGGTACCGATTCTCCTCTCTGGAAGATTTCAGAAAGCATTAACAGTCTTTCTAATTATGAGAGAATTTAAACAATTTGGAATACATTTTGACGTAATACATGAAATAGTTTGAGCTGCTACATATAGTTCTAAAGAAAAATCTTCAGATCACTATATATTATTTGGCAGTTGATATTAAGGTCCAATTGTACCTGCGTTAGTGAAGACATGGCATAGAAAATTGTGAATGAAAATGTTTCAGAATTACAGTGGCAAAAGTATAGTTTCCATTTTCTGGTAATATGGATTCCTTGAAAAGAAGTCAGAGCATAGGAGAAAAAAAGATTATCATGCCCATTCACATTTACCTCTCCAGTACAGATAGATCTCATCATGGCATTTTATTGTATGGTCGATAGCCCAATGTCCACCCTTTCATTACTATATTTAATAGATTTCTCCAAACATCTGTTTCTCTCGAGTAAAGAAATTTTCAAAATTTGATGCCCACTGATTTCCATTAAGGAACATGCTTAAAAACATAACATACTATTTTTATCAAGTTCATATGGCTTAGTGGTACAATTACCTTTATTAGCTAGCTTGATTAGCCTGTTACTGAAGCCTCCATCGCCATCCACAATGTAAATTTCCTCTTTGCTACAAACACTTTTGCTGGTTGATCAAATTGTAAGTCAAATTTAAGTCAAAGCCAGATGTTCCAGGTTTCCCAGGATTTGTGTTATTTGGGGGAAGTACTTCAACAACATGTATCCCATAGGGAGAGGCCATAGTGATCTTGACTGTTCTTTCTTATACTTAGCAATTTATTCACTGGTGGCAGAGGTTTAGGCTCCAGTGACCAAGCCTTCTTTCCAGACAGAAAAATCCAAATAAAATGTGAGAGTATTAAACATTGATAACATCATAGCACGTTCAAGTGCAAATGTGTGTCTCACCTGAGCCACATAGACAACATCTGCCACTGGGTCGACTGCAACACCAAAGACTTGACCTGAAAAATATTCAGGAAAATTGGGCCATGCAGTATCCAGTTTGTAGAGGTTTTTCTCAGCCACCTTAGGTAATTTCAAGTAATAACGAGCTGAGGCCTGATGGATTCAAACATAAAAAACAATTTTAAACATGGCACTCATGTGTCTGGTTCACTGTCTGTCAATGATTATGGTGTAATACCAATACAGGAAACTAATTTAGTGAATTGAAAGCAACCACTTTTTCCATTAATATGATTGATTGAAGGAAAGAAAAAAATCTCCTGTCAATGTGCTATTTTTACATATATAACCCCTGGATATTTTCAACAACGAGGTTGTAGACATTCGCACTGAGCCAGTGGGTTTGGCTGCAAACATTTTGTCACCATGCTAGGCAATATCGTCAGTGCACCTCCGGTGAAGCATTGTTGTTCTGTCCTGCTTGTTATTTATATGCCTTATTTTTTTGGGGTACTTGGTACCACTTCCAGTTCTGATTCTCAGTGGTTTCTACACCAGGTCTAATTCAATGTGTTGAAAATGAAGGCAGAGGGATCCAACACACCCCGCTTCTACAGACTCCCCAAGGTACACAAACCGGGGGTTCTGCTCAGACCCACTGTCTCACTACTAGGCACACGAACGTATGGACTTGCCAAAGAACTACAACAGAAATTGAAATACCTAGTTGACAACACTACCCTCTCAATCCACTCATCCCAAGAATTCCTCAATATCATCAAGGACACCAGGTTTGAAGAGGACAAGATGATGATATCCTTCCACATAACAGCACTATTTATATCCATAAACATTGACCTGACCAAAGAGACAATTGCCACACTACTGGACACATCAAGTAGACAGGCCCCCTAGGACACCAACAACATCAATTTAAGGACACCACCATGAAACTATTAGATCTGTGCCTCACAACCCACTTCACCTTCAACAATGGCACATACAAACAAATCAACGGAATACCAATAGGATCCCCAATATCAGGACTGATTGCAGAAGCATTAATGCAAAGGCAGCGCTCCCCACTATACAACCCAAACTTTGGGTCCGAAAAGTAGATGACACCTTTGTGGTTATCAAATGCACAAAACTAGAAGAAACCCACCAACATATAAACAACATACTCATTGGGATAAAATTCACAAAAGAAGAAGAGAACAACAACTGACTACCTTTCCTGGACATAATGGTAGAACGCAAAAACAACAGGGAACTCCAGAGTAGCGTATATAGAAAGACCACACATACAGACCAAATACTCAATGACACTAGTAACCACCCCAACACCCACAAATGGAGCTGCATCAGGACACTATTTAAATGAGCCACAACACATTGCAGCAACTATGTGAAGCAGAACAGGAGCACCTATACTGAGTCTTCAAAAGGAATGGATACCTGAAAAGCACAATCTGCCATTACCTCCAAGACAGACCACAACAGGAAGACACAACACGACCAGACTCAATAGTCACCCTACCGTACAAAGACATTTCAGAGATGACCACAAGACTACTCAGTTCCCTAGGTATCAGGGTAGCCCACAAACCAACGACCACCCTACAACAGCTACTGACGAACACAAAGGATGCCATACCTAAAACTAGCAAAACCGGTGTAAAATACAAAATACCATGCAAGGACTCTGAGAAACACTACATAGGCCAAACTGGAAGAAAACTGACGTTACGGAGAACACAAACACCAACTAGCCACCATGAGACACACCAATTCTCGCTTGTCTCACTTCACACGGATAACAAGGGACAGAAATTCGACTGGGACAACACAGCCATAACTGCACAAGCCAAACAGAGACACGCCAGGGAATTCCTGGAGGCTTGGTATCCTAACTGGAACTCCATCAACAAACACACTGAATTAGACTCAGTGTACATGCCACTGAGAAACAGAACCGGAAGTGGTACCAAACACCCCAACAAACTGAAGCATATAAATAGCAAGAGGGGCAGAGCGCCAACACTTCACTGGAGGTGCACTCACTGTGTTACCTAGTAGGGTACGAAATGTTTGCAACCAAAACCACCGGCTTGGCGAGCATGTCTACAACCTCATCCACAACCCAAGCTACAAATCTTCGCAAAAAGCTTTCAGGGGACCATTTTACTTCATGCAATTCAAAGTGTCATTTTGTGAAAACACTGGTGAAGAGGAGACAGATGACAATCTCTTCTGTATGTTTGTTAAAAATAGCTCTTCAAACAACTGGAATGTTAAAGGAAAGTGATAAGGATCACTTATGTTCTAAATTTGTGTTAATGATGCTTTGCAGTTTGAAATTTGCCTTCTTTGACCAATCACACAATCACCAAATTTTTCCTCTGCTAATTTAGGAAGTTAAATGGGAAGGTGGGAGAAGTTGATTAGGATTACAACTTAGTGCAAATTTGGAGGATCTTGTGCCACAGCGGGAGTGTCCCTAGCCCTGGACCAAAAGGCCCGGGTTCAAGTCCCACCTGCTCCAGAGGTGTGTAATAACATTTCTGAACAAGTTGATTAGAAAAATGGATTAAATAGAAAAGAAAATACAAATTTATGGCTGCTAGGACTCTAGGCTGATAGACAGAACCTCAATTTAGCACTATATCTGAAAAATGGTATGATTTTTCTTTTCTAATAAATCTATTATTCTTTGTTTTAAAAGTACACTGACAGCCTCTTGTGAATGTGCTCAGTAACTGCTCTCCACGATTGAAATAAAAAAAACAAAGTTGGGTCTAACAAGCCAGATTTCACTCTGGGATCTGACCTGTCCAGTATTGACAACAGCTGACAATGTTCAAATTATCCTTATAATTGGCAAACTGAATAAATTTTCACTGCAGGTCAACCAGAATCTGTGAAATAAGAAACGGAGTTAACTTTTCAGGTGAATAACCTTCTATCTAAGCTGGGAAAGGCTACAGGAGTAATAGGTTTTAAGCAAGTGAGAGGGGGCGTTTTTATGCGGGAGGATGAGGCTGAGAGAAGAACAACAAAAAAGTAGGAGGTAGGTGAGATCAGTGACAAAACGTTTTATGGTGCAATACCAAGGGAATAGTTACGGGACAAGCACAGAAATAATGGACATATCCGGAAGAGATATGAATGGCAGAATGATGAACAGTTGCCATCTGAAAGCAAGAAAAAACAGAAAATGCATTGAAACCAGGAAGGAAAAAAAATCAAACAAAATGAAAGCAGAGCTCGCGGCTGTGAAATAATTGAGCCTATAAGACTGTAATTGTTGAGTCTATCAGAGTGTAACGTGTTTAATCGAAAAATATGCTGTCCCTCGAGCTCACGTTTATGTTTTTTCGACCACAGCAGGAAGCTAAGGACAGAAACACCTAATGGAAACAAGATGGGTAATTAAAATAACAAGTGGCTGGAAGTTCGGGGTCACGTTTTTCTTTACCGTAAAAACAATTCTGTTCTGCACTTTCAATCTGCTCAAATTGTTAAAACTGTCGAGCACTTCCGCAAAACAACCGCAAGCTTACTTCCCACTGACACCGGCCATGTATTGTTATCTCCCGATTAAACAACGGACTCAGTCAAATTTCTCAGCAATCCCCGGGGCAGGCCGACACTCCGTCTGTTTCTCTTTCCGCGGATGCCGAGTTTCTCCAGTGGTCCCCACCCCTGACAAAACATGAACCAAACATCGGCCCGGTTTCCCTTCACAGTTGGGCTGAACGCTCCTTCCCCACAAATAAAAGAGACGTTTCCTCGGCAAGTTTGAAAACGACAGACTTTCTTAAAAACGTACCGAGTTGGTGAAGCGTGTGAGTAAGAATATCCAGAGGGAGAGGAGTGACACGATCATGACGAACACGACAAAGGGTTTGATTCGTTTGACAGACGCAAACATCCAGTTCGCCCTGAGCGTTGACAGTTAACAGAAACGGAGGTGGCTACTTTAACTGCCTCCACAGCGGTACGGAGATTCAACGAGCGACAACCCTGCTGAAATATTTTAAATTTTAAAAGTGATCATGGAGTGTAGGGTGGTATAAAATAAACAGATGCACGAGTTAGAAAATGGGCTGTTGAAGGGCATTGTCGTCATCATTTAGCGTCAAACGGCCATGAAGGACCCCAGCCCCCCCCCCCGCTATCCGTAGTAACGACGGGGGGTGGTCCGCGTAGGGCGCGAGCGGCAGTCGTTAGCCGTAGGGTTTCTCCTGTAGTTGGCCGGAGGACAAGAAGGGACAGCGTGTGGAGGTTTCTGCTTCCCTTCCCCGCTGATATATCGGCCATGAAGCAGATTGCACGGATCGGGAAGAGGTCGGGAAGTTTGGCGGCCCTCGGAGCCCAATGCGTTTGGTAGCGGCTCGGTCTCCGATCGCATTCAACACCCTCCCGAGGGTGCCGAAGTACCTGTGATTACTCAACAGCTGCTCCTCTCTTTCAAGACGGGGTTGGGGGGAAGAATTCGATCATCTCCTCTATTCCCATCTCCAAAATGGATAGTAAATCGTTTGCAATCGTCCTGGATGAAATACGAAAGGTAAAATCTCCGCTGTTGCTCAGTTATCATTCTTCCTGCCCCCGCGCTTTACCCCACCCAGTTAGAATTTCAGATTAAAGAAAATACTGTGGATACTGGAAATCTGAAACAAATACAGAAAATGCTGGATAAACCCAGCAGGTTTGGCAGCATCTGTACAGAGAGAAAAGGGGTTAATGTTTTGAGTACAGCATGACTTCTTCAGAAACCATTTCAAAGACATCTATGCCCGAAACATGGTTCCACACCATGTGTTCCCTTTTAAATTGTAGTTCCTCTTCAGTGCAGAATTCCAGCATGTGATTGGTAGCAACAGATGAGAAAAGGCTCCAAGAAGACTGAATAGACTGCCTAGCTAGTGCAGAATGGCAGAGAATACAATGCTGGATACACCATCTGTGGAGGGAGAAACAGGAGTTAATGTTTCACCTCCGTGACCTCTTGTCAACAGGATGTGACCCATGTAGCCAAAATAGTAGAATGTAGTTCAGTGACAATGAACGTACAGCATTCTGGTAAGATTGTATCTCTTGCTGATACAGAAGGGGCAGGAGGCAGTGCAATAAACTACGGACCTCACGGCTGAGATATAATGTACGACTGCAGAAGATTGGGTATTTGTGGCAATGAAATGAGGTGCTTGAAAGCTGATGTTAAAGAGATTTATACTCGTCAGGAGTACAGACAGGTCAAATCTGAAATAAAATGTTAAATTATTGGAGTAAGGATAAAGGTTGTAGAGATCAACACAGACTAGACTCTGAATAGTGGAAGTGCAAATCCTGGAATCATTTGTACTGAAATAGGGATTAAATTATTCAGAGAAAATGAAGTGAGGTGGGCATAATGATTGTGGATGTTGGATCTGGGCAGTTAGTGAATGCAAATTCTTTGAAGAAATATTTGGACATAAAAGTAGAGTCATCATAGTCTTATCTGACCCACAGGGCTGCTGTCTCATTGGAGACAGAGACAGTTAGTGGTGGTTTAACCCGAGGGTCGCCACACCTCAAGTGAGGGGATAGGCTGAGAAAGAGACTTGCCTTTGCATTGAGCATACTCTTGATGTATTGTGTGACTCTACCACCACGCTGAATGGGATAGTTTTAAAACAGATCTGACAGTCGAAGATTGGGTAACCTTGAGAGGGCATCAGTAACAGAACTGTATTCAGCTACAATCTGTAACCTCATGGCCTGTAAAAGTACTGAAAATGTGTGTCCCAGAACTAGCCATACTGCTTGCTTAGCTGCGCCAGTGTAGATACAGTGCTGGCACCTGACTGGCAATGTGAAAAATTGCTTGGATATGTCATATGTAGCAGGCATGATGAATCTAACCTGACCAATTTTCACTTCATCAGTCAACTCTTAGTCTTCAACAGAGTGATGGAAGGTGATGTTAACAGTGCTATATTGCAACACTTATTCGGCTGACTTGCCCTAGTTTTCGGTTCCACCAGGCCTACTCAATTTCATGACTTCATATCAGCCTTGGTCGAAGCACTGACAAAACGACTGAACCTGATGGTGACCGCCCTTGCCATCAAGGCAATATTTGACAAAGAATGGCATCAAAGAGTCCTGACAAAACTCGAGTCATTAGGGGGACAGGTGGGGATTCTACACTGGTTAGGATCATTCCTAACACGCAGAAACTTGGTTGTGATTGTTGGAGGCAACTTATCTCTGCAGGAATTCTTTAGGGTAGTGTCCTAGGCCCAGTCACCTTTAGCTGCTTCATCAATGACCTTCCGTCTATCATAAGGTTACAAGTGGAGAGGATTGTTGATGATTTCACACTGATTAATTTGCAATGTTCAGCACCATTCGTAACTTCTCCAATATTGAAGCAGTCAATGTCCAAATGCAATAAAACCTGGGCAACATTCAGGTGTGGGGTGGTAAGTGGCAAATACTATTTCTACCACCTAAGTTCAGGTAATGACTATCTCCAACAAGAGACAATCCAAACATCACCCCTATATGTTCAGTGGCATTGTCATTTTTGAATCCCCCATTGCCAACATTCTTGGGGTTTTGTTGACCAGAAACTGAACTGTTCCAGCTATATATATTGTGGCAATAAGACCAGATCAGAAGCTCATAATTGTGCAGTGAGTAAATCACCATCTGACTCATCAAAATCTGTCCGCTGCCCACTAAGTGCAAGACAGGATGATTCGTTTTGGATGAGTGCAGCTCTAACACTCTGGAAGTTCGACTCCCACAGGACAAAGTAACTGACTTGATTAGCACCCCATCTCACAACTTCAATATTCATACCCTCAACCACTGACACAATAGAAATTAAAATTTAACTATTCCTGTAATGAATGTCCAGTTTGAATTGCTAGTTTTAGAGCCAAGTGGCAAGTTGATTAATCTATTGTAAAAATCATCTTTGAAATTTTTGCAAAAGATTTTGGTGTCACCTTCATTTAATTTGTAGCACTGTTGAAAGAATCCCTACAGTGCAGAAGCAGGCCATTCAGCCCATCTGAACAGAATCCCACCGAGACACACTCCATTCCTGTAACTCTGCATTTCCCACAGCCAGTCCACCTATCCTGTACATCCTTGGGTAACGGGTCTGTCGCTGGACACTATGGGCAATTTAGCACAGCCAGTCCACCTAACCTGCACATCTTTGTACTGTGGGACGAAACCAGAGCACTTGGAGGAAACCCATGCAGACACAGGGAGACTGTGCAGACTCCACACAGACCCGTTACCCAAGTGGAGTCGAACCCAGGTCCCTGCTACTGTGAGGCAGCAATGCTAACCACAGCACCTCTCATTCAGAAAGTTATAGATTCAAGCTTAACACCAGAACATACACTTAGCAGAACTATATTCTCAGAAGCCCTATGTTTTAAATGGATTGTTCCAGCGGCTCAGGTAGACACTGAAGAGCCCATGATATTGAAGAAAAAATAAGGATTCTTTGTATTTTGACCAATAATTTTTTCCTCAAGCCAGATTAACTGTACATTCATCTGTTTATGCGATCTTGCTACTCGACTTCAGTAGTCACTGCCCTTCCAACAATTCATTGTCGGCAAAGTTCTTCAATGTTTTAGGGTTTGAAATAACACAGTAGTTCAAAAATGCACAATATGACAGCAATATGTGATATCTTAGAGTGTTGTAATTTTTATGAGCTGCGTTGCTTAAACCCAATACAAATAAATTGCATTTATCTCAAGTTACCACTATTGAACATTTTTTCTTCCAATAAGCTCAAAACAAAAGGTATTAGTATTTTAAAAATTCTTTACTGAGAATTGACATCTAGGTTTTTCCCATCCTTTACACCCTGTCCCCAGTATATGTTGCTTTCTTTTGAACTGTAATTGAGAAATTACTTTGTACACTCTTCATAACAGTGGGCAAGGCAATTTACTGAATTGCTGATATTAATTATTATATTTCCGTTTTATATCAACTTGCATTGTCTCTTGAGTTACTTAGATACATGATGCATTGTCCAGTGTAGACCAGATTTAGAACATCACTTTCATTTCATGATCTAAAATCTGTGCGCTTGTCAAAATTAATGTTTTCAGGTTCTAATAACTCCTATTTATAACAGCAGCTGCTATAGTCAATTATCTCACCAAACTATTTGTAAAGATATGTCTGCAGAATATTTGTGAATTTCTTTTACAAGTCACCATGGGGGGCTCTTGTGGTGTAGTGGTTGCGTCCCTACCCTTGGACCAGGATGTCCAGCTTTGAGTCCCACTTGCTTCAGAGCTGTGTAATAACATCCCTGTACAGGTTTATTAGAAAAATAGGTTAAATTTTTTAAAAAAAGCCACCATGTACAAATACTTGCTATTGATAGAGTCAAATACTTGGATACCCAGGGCATTTTTTCGTAAGTTAGCTTTGATTTGAAAGTAAAGTTAAGTCAGTTTTGTCTTGTTAAAATATAGTATTAGACACTTGTGATTTTAGTGGAGACTGAAGTAATATTAGTTTTACACCACTTAAAACCTCTTAAAGCATAGTCACAAAATTTACAACATGCTAAGATGAAAACTGCACTGCAACATTTGCAGAAGGATGTGAATATTTTCTGGTAACCATGTTATTTATTCAATCTGCATATATTCATTTTCTTTTTAGGGGGTTCTGACTGATCATAAATTAAAGGCAATTGAATATGTGCATGGATATTTTTCAAGTGAACAGGTTGGTAATTGACAATACCTTTCTGTTAACTGCACACGACTGCTGCTCGTGCATTTTGTGTGATTACAATTAACATTTTATGATATTACTTTTATGGAGATGATTATTAGTTTAAATATTCTAATGTATTCTGAAATCCCCATGGAAAATATTAATTGAAAGGTGTGTTGCTAGATAGATTTAGTTAAAGAAGTCAGTAATAATTATTGTCCATAAATTTATTTTAAGTTATCATTTTAAACTGTATCCACAGGTGGTTGAATTACTGAAGTATTTTTCTTGGGCAGAACCTCAACTAAAAGCTCTTAAAGCTTTACAGCATGTAAGTGTTGAAGCATTTGTGCTATATTGCAGACTATTAAATGTCTGTCCAATTTTTCAGTTTGTGTAATGGGTGATAATTTGTCTTGAAGAACCTTGTTTTACTGCAGCGCTTTGAAAAAAAACATTTTAAAGCCAGTGTGCTTTCACTGTTTTGTTTTCCAGAAAATGGTAGCCATCCATGTATCTAAAGTAATAAATATCCTTCATTGCCTCACTTTCACTAAAGATAAGCTTGTCGCCTTAGATCTAATAGCCTTGTAAGTATGTTTTTATCTTTGGTATAGTTTGACACTTGCCTTGTGTTACACTTGCTGACAGTATATTGTTTCAGTTTCAACTTGACATTTTAGGCCTTATCATTTTCTAAGCACCCAATGAATAATTGTAGAAAAATTTAATAATTCCTGATCTTCTAGGAATGCCATAACCATGTGAATGTGAAGTTCAGATTATTTTTGATTCAGGCAGGCGCTTCCAGTGCGCATGATGTGTATATGCATGGTATTGCTTTTGGAATTTGCAAGAATAGTACTATAAGTGTGTAGTCGTTGCAGCCAGTGCCAAGTTATTGGTACTAGGGGAGCTTAGCTGTGCAGGAGATTAGGATGAAGAGGGGAAGAGCAGAAGTAATGAGGGATGTTAGTTAAGGGAGCCAGTAGACATTTTCGTGACTGTAAATGTGACATCTTGGTGATGAGTTGCCTCTCTGGTGTCAGGGTGAAGGATATCATGAACCAACTGCAGGACATTCTTCTGGGGAGGGTGATTAGCCAAAGTCGTGAAATGTGTTGCTACCAGTGACTCGGATAGGAAGGGGAATGAGGTCCTGAAAGCAGACTTCGGGCAGTTGGGAAGAAGATTGAAAAATAGCACCTCTGAAGCAGTTGTCTCAGGGTATTTCCAATCTCTTATGCTAGTGAGCATAGAAATAGGAGAATTGAATATGTGGTTGAATAACTGGTGTGGGAATGAGGGCATTGGATTCCTGGTGCAGGTGGTATTTATTTGACATGACATCTTTAAAGAATTGTTACTAACATCCTCACAGGGAGATTTATTGCTGTTGGAGAGAATTACTAGATTGCTAGTGGGATGGGAGCCTGAGAGGGAGCTTGGATTTAGGTGAAATAATACTGGTAAAAGGGGAAAAGTAAAAGAAGAAAGCAAAAATAGAAGTCAGGCAAAGGATAGGCAAACATCAAATATGATCAGAATAGAGAATAATTTTTTTAAATAAAGCAATATTAAAGGCACTCTTTCTGAAAGCATATAGTATTCATTAAAATGTTTGAAGATCTGAATGCACAAATTGGGGTAAATGGGTATGATACAGTTAGTATTGTGAGGATCGGTTATAGGGTAACCAAGATTAGGAACTGAATATTCAAGGATTTTTCCCATTTGGGAGGGAGAGGGGAAAGGGGAGCTTGGTAGGACTTGTAATAAGGGATGAAAGTCATAAATTATTGAGAGAGAATCAGTTTGTGTCGCATAAAAAATAGCAAGGGGGCAGCAGACATTGGAAGTTATTTATCTGTCTCCAAAATATAGGAGTAAAGTTGGGCATGCTATAAAACAGAAAATTAGTTATGTATGTAAAGTGGGTAACAGTAATGGGTAAATTCAGTTTACACAGACTGGATTAACTAGATTCCTGGAGTGTGGATGAGATGTTTTTCTCGAATAATCTATTGAGGAGCAAACTAGGGGTTATTTTGGATTTAGGACTGTGAACTGAGAAAGAGATAATTAATAATTTGCTGTAAATGAACTTTGGGAAATAGTAACCATATTATGATAGAATTTTGCATTGAATTTGATTGTGATATAGTTCATTCTCAAACTATGGTCATAAATCTAAAGAAAGAAAATTGTGAAGGATTGAGAAAATACAATAGAAGAGTTGACAGCAGTCATATAATAGCTAGTATTTCAAGAAATACTACATTGTCTACAACATTTATACATTCCCGTAAGGCACAAACCCATAAAGGGAAAGGTGAATCAATTGTGGTCAGTGAAAGAAATATATTAGATTAGAGGAAGTGGCTTGTAAGGTTGCCAGCAAAAGTGGTAACTCTTGGAATCGGGAATAATTTAAATTCTAGCAAGGAGGACCAAGAAACTGATTAAGAATATGAATGCAAACTGCAAGGAGCATAATGGCAGACAGTAAAAGCTTCTTTAGATATGTGAAAAAGAAATGCCTAGCTGGGACAAATGTGGGCCCCTTACTGGTGAGAACAGGAGAATTTATGAACTGGGAAATGAGGGAGAAACTAAACAGTTGCATTGTTTCTGTATTCAGGAAAGAAAGTGAAATATCCCAGAAATATTTGATGACCAAAGGACTTTGAAACTGAGGGAATAAATTTAGTATTAGTGAAGAGAGAGTGCTTGGAGAGAACTTGAACAGACTAATGAATGAACTGGAAGGTGGTAGATGGAATATAATGTGATTAAGTGTGAAGTTATTCTCTTTGGTAGAAAAGTAGAATGCTGACCAATTCTTAAATGATGAGAGGTTAAAAAGTGTAGGTGTCCAGAAGAACCTGGATGTCCTTGTTCATGAGTCACTCGCATTAGTATGCAGGTGCACTGAGCAAATAGGAAGACAAATAGTATGTTGAACTTCATTGTAAGGGAATGTGAGTACAGGAATAAAGCTGTCTTGCTTCAGTTGAACAGAGCCTTGATGTGCTCTCTTTGGGAGTATTATGCAGTTTTGGTCTACTTGCCTAAGGAGGGATTTATTTACCATAGAGGATGTGCAACCAGAATAATCCATAGGATTGCAGGATTTCTTTTTTTTGTGGGAGATTTTGAAGAGAATTAGTCTGTATCTTCCAGAGTTTAGAAGAATGAGTTGTGAGAAAATTGAATTTACAAAATTCTCACTGGGTGTGACAGGGTGAATGTACATGAACATGTCTCCCCTAGCTGGTAAATCCAAAACCAGGGGACATAATCTCATGATACGAGATACCCAGGATAGGCCATTTAAAACTGATAGGAGGAGGGATTTCTTCATTGTGAATCTTTGAAATTCTCAAACCCAGACTGCTTCAAAATTTAGTTGTTGAATATGGAAATCGGTAGGTTTCTAGAAGCTAATGACATCAAGGAATATGGAGAAAAATGGCATTGAGGAAGCTGATCAGCCATGATCTAATTGAATGGCAGGGCAAGCTTGATGGTTGGACAGACTACTCTTGTTCCTATGTTCAGCTGTTTAAAAAAAGAAGAGTTTTTTAATATCAGATGTTTGGTGGACATTGTAAATGTGAACATTTTTTTTCTGATAGGAATATCATTGATCCTCACAATTATCGACTAATTGAAGATATTTTCCGGGTACACCTGCCAGAAAAGAAACGCTGCAAAAGAATTCTTGATCAGGTGATGTATCTTAAATAGACTACTTTCCTGACTTATGATTTTACGTGACTGTGTTGTGTGAGATACTTAATTTTAAATTTATAAGGGAGCTATTTCAATAATTCAGAAATTGTTTTATGTACCAGAGCAAAATTTGCAGGTAAGAGCTAAAATCTGAAAGTTTGAATTCATTATTGTATAGAAAGACTGGAAACTTTAAGAAGGCAGTTGGACTGTGGTACTGTTCTCAGAAGTGCTGCGGAAAATCACACTATAATTGGGTAGTAAGTGGGAGTACATTTGAACATTTATGGTTTTGTGATAGTCAGCAGCTAGGATCAGGAGAACAAAAAAAAACTTGGCTTGGATGGTCAGGGTGGATAGCAAAGTGAAGTCTATTGATGAGTTTGTCTTTGAGAGTGATAGGTACTGGATGTACTGTCAGAGGCTACGAATTCTGCAGCAAGTAACTCAGCACCTGTCACCCCAGAGTTTGTCCAACTGCTGCAGGACACCAGTCAGGAAGCTTGCTTCCGTCCAGGGCAAAGCAGTCTGTTTGACACCCCATCCACCACCTCAATATTTGCTCATTTCATCAC